AATGCCCGTAACAAGATGTACCCTTTGTTTGGTGTTTTGAGGTCATATCGCACAAAACCGAATCCCCGCAACAAAATGTACCCCTTGTGTGTTGGCGTGTATCTTGTCACGACGTACACAACCGAATGTCCTCAACAAAACGCACCCGCCTGCTTGGTGCATATGATTTCATAATGTGCACAACGGATGCCCATAACAAAATGTACCCCTCTTTGGTGTGTCTAATCTCATAACGTGTACGACCGAATGCCACCCGAGCGCTTCCCTGCAACCCGGGATCCGCCCATCTTGGGACGATGGAGGTGGGACTTGGTGACAAAGGGTTTTTGGAAGTCAACGATTGTCATGAGTTTAGGCCTAAACCCTAAAAGGAACAGGTTTGGGTGGTTTTGCCGCCTCGGACGGCGTGCTTTTCGCACTGGACGAGGTCCTCTGCTGCATCTAACCTTCACAGCATCTACGCCCTATTACAGCAAAAACCCTCGACCCTAAACTGCGCCGCTGTCGATTTGCCTGGGGAGGCTTCTGGGCCCGGTTCTGGCGCTTTTGAAAGGCAGGCCCGCTTTGCCACCCCTTTGCTGCCCCTAGGGTTGGTTGGGGTCTGCCAAATTAATCCAAGCTGGTCGGGCCCGTCGAGCCACTCTCTAAAGCTTCATGAGACCCCCCAAAAGAGGCGGGATCCAGGATTTGCCCGGACCCGCAATGAAAGTGCGGGATTTTTGTATTGAACTCGACGGTTTTGGGCGTCCCTAATTTTACCACAGGAAGCCCACCAGCGGGTAGAATGCTCCAGGAGGCTTTTGGGACCCCCAGGGACACTCTTCCTCTTAGAGTTTGAAAGGAAGAAAAAGCAAGAAAACCCCCCTTGGGGGGTGAACCCTAAACCCTAAATGAGAATAGTTTGGGTGGTTGGGGTGGGACTACATGCTAGCGCAAGCGAGCGGCTCGGGTGCTTTTCGCACCAGCGAGCTTCCCTTCTACACACCCTAAACCCTAAACCCTACGCCCTAAGCCCTAGACCCTAGACCCTAAACCCTAAACCCTAAACCCTATTTGTGGGTTGGGATGCGGGTTTTGTGATCACCTCTTGCACCCCACGAAGCCCCGAACCAATAACCCAAATATAAGTGCAGCTATAACCCGTGCAAAAGCTTTTTAAGTACCTTACTAGTGTAATAATTAGGTTGCAATTGCAGTTATAATTGGGCTACTAAGTACCATGAGCCTGCAAGTAGTGCTCTACAACCTTCATTGAAAGGCGTGACGCCCGGCACGTATGCACGGCGAACGGAGTCTTGTTGCAATTCAGTGTGCTGCTGCATGAGAGTCTGAGGGTTCGAGGCTACCGATGGCGACGGCATGTTTAAGGTTTCGGGTTCCGGGTTTAGGGTGTATTGTTTAGGGTTCAGGTGCAAAGGTGCGACCGTAAGCCTTCACGCCCTTCCTATTTTGAGACTCCTGGGTGCAGCCTTCATTGAGCCCTAGCAAGGGAGGTCAATTGAAAGATGTTTCACAGTGGGGGAGACAAAGGGCTTAGGGAGAGTCTTGAACAGCATTAAACGGAGGCTCGGCGCGAGGCGTGCTGTTAATTGGGGTTGTAGTACTCCCTACTACCATCCCTATTAGTGACTGGTAGTAAAAGGGGGAACATCGGGAACATCCCAACATTCAGGGCTGCACCCTAAACCCTAAACCCTAAACCCTAAACCCTAAACCCTAAACCCTAAACCCTAAACCCTAAACCCTAAACCCTAAACCCTAAACCCTAAACCCTAAACTTCAGCGTCCGCCCAGCTCCAAGCTTCGCCCCAAGCCCTCCCCCCTCCCCCCCGGTGTGGGCAGTTGGTTGCTGTCAAAGATGTGGGGGTTTTCGGGGGTTTTGGGTTTAGGGTTTGGGTTTAGGGTTTAGGGTTTAGAGTTTAGGGTGGGTTTCCGAGCATCGGGGTACCCTTTAATTTTGGGGGCCTTTTTAGGAGATTCTCTGCTATTTGGGGTATCTAAGGGGGTACCCTTATTTTGGGAGATACCTATGTCAGCCCACCCCAAGCCCAACGGTCTTAGCTGACCTCAGGATTATCTCAACAAGAAGTCTGGGCTCCCTGAGTCTGAACCAGGGTTTAGGGTTTAGGGTTTATTTAGGGTTTAGGGTTTAGGGATGGTTTAGGGTTTCGGGTTTAGGGTTTAGGGTTTAGGGCTTAGGGTTCAGGGCAATGAGAAACGCCATCAGGATTACATGCGGGATTCTCTTCGATATTTGGGCAACCTGCTCAAAGACAACAACCTCATCGAGGAGTGGCGAGACATTCTTGGTAAAGACCTGATGCGTCTCACCGTGGACTCTTGGACTTGATGGCATGCTTGAAGACCTGCTGTTCCTTAGTAAGGAATGATTGACGTACCGTATATAAGCCCTTAAAAGGCACATGCCGGGGAATCTAAGGTACCTAATTCCCTAAATGCCGAGTAAGAACCAGTAAGCAACCCTAACTAAACCCTAAACCGTAACCCTCAAACTTAAACCCTAAACCCTAAACCCCAAACCCTACACCCTAAACCCTACGCCAAATGCGATTCCCCAGGCCTGGTTCTCGATCTGTACTTTGAGGGTTGCATCAACGTTGCTGCTGCACGACCTCTCTGCAGCGCCGGGGCAGCTATTTGGGGAAAAGGTTCTCCCTGGTTTAGGATTTCGGGTATAGGGTTTAGGGTTTAGGGTTTAGGGTTCAGGTTGGATGGCTACAACTTGATACGCGTAGGGACAGGTAAAGACCTTGTACCCCCGCCCCTTCGACTCCCTTATTCTTTTGGGCAAGCGGGCCTATGGCCTATGGGCCGGTTCTCTTGGAGGAGCAACAGGGTATTCGAGCTGGGTATCTTCAGCCCCAAGCCCAAAGCCTTAGCCCTTAAGCCTCAACCAAAACCCTAAGCCCTAAACCCTAAACACACCCACACACGCCAAACCCTAAACCCTACATCCTAAGCTCGCACCCCAAACCCTACACACTGAACCCTGAACCCTAAATCCTAAACCCACACCGCAAACCCTAAACCCTAAACCCCAAGCCCTAAGCCCTAAGCCCTATAAGCCCTAAACCCCAACCCTAAACCCTAAGCCCGAAGCCCTGAACCCTCATGTCGACTGCCCTGCCTGGGCCCTCCAGTATGTACACGACCCGAAGCCTTCCCGGAGAACAACCTCAAGTAGAACCTCCCTGTCTCAGGCTTGAAAGGTCTAGGGTTTAGGGTTTAGGGTTTAGGGTTTAGGGGGTTTAGTACCCTAGAAGCCCCTAAGCCCCCTGCAGAATTCGGTCTCAGCTAGCAAGGCCTCGGTGTCCTGTATGGTCGGCTTCGTCGTCTTCGCGTCCGTGCTCGCGGCAGTAGGCCTTTTCTTTGTTGCCATGTCCATAATCCCTAAACCCTAAACCCTAAACCCTAAACCCTAAACCCTAAACCCTAAACCCTAAACCCTAAACCCTAAACCCTAAATCCAAATTCTCCAATACCCCTGAACTAAGGAATATTCCTTAGAGTATAAGAGGGTTCCTTGTATTGGTCTAAGGAATATAGCTTAATTAAAGGGCATGGGAGCCTCTGGGCAGACTTTCCCCCGAACAGTCCTCAATAGGGACTTTAATAGTGTGGTACTAGAATCCCCATGTAGGACTGCTAGTGTAAGCATCCCAACCCCAAAACTTTATAGTGTTGCCCTGGGCCCTCTCAATCCGCAAGCCTCAACCCTGTAGGCCTTGCAAGCCCTTTAGGGCTCAAGGCTTAGGGCTTAGGGCTAAGGGCTAAGGGCTTAGGGTTTAGGGTTTAGGGTTTAGGGTTGAGGGTGCTGGAGAGGCTTCGTCCTCATAGCCACCTGGCGTGGGCTGGGCCTGCGAGTCCAGCGGTTCCTGGCGTGAATGCGCAAGAAGTTCTGTCCTAAACCCTAACTCTAAACCCTGAACCCTAAACCCTAAACCCTAAACCCTAAACCCTAAACCCTAAACCCTAAACCCTAAAACCCAAACCCTAAACCCTGAATGTCATCATTTTCTCAGCCCGAAGTCTTTGACCCTGAGCCTTTGATCCCGGGTTTCGGGTTTGGGGAGAAGGAGAGCAGGAGTGCTTCACCCTGCTCCAAGCCGAGGTTCACCGACCCTTTCAGACAAAAGGAGGTGGACCTCGCTGTCGTGCAAGGCCAGTGGAGAGAGTTGGGCGCTTGCATGCGCTCCATGTCGCACGCTTTGCAAGTCTGCATCGTGGTATTGGCCCTGACTGTGGGCACAGGGTTGATCGCAGTGGCGTTTGACGTGCTTAGAGACGGGTTCGCCTTGACCATGCTCCCGGCTGTGCTCTTCTTTGCCTTGCTGACAGCAACTTTGCTCCCCGCGGCGCTTGCAAGCTCGGCGTGTGCTCGCTTTCCTTCCTTCGTAGCCATCTATGACCCCGGCCCGGAGATGGCGGAGCAGTTCATCCGATTTGCAGACTTCGTTGCAATGACCGATTGCGGATGCTTCCTCTGGGACACTAAGCTCACACTTGGGCTTCTTCAACGCGTGATATCCATCACCATAGCACTGGCTGCAGGCATCTACCGCAGCGGGATCCTGGCAAGCTAGTGGGTAAACTGGCTTCCTTCTTGCTCCCAATGGCACTCAACCCTAAGCCCTCTAAGCCCTAAACCTAACCCTATAAACCCCTAGACCCTACATGCCCCAAGAGCCTCAAGTTTCACCTGTCGATTTTGGAGCGACGGCCGTGACAATGTCCTGCGGCTGCAATCCAGGCTTTTAGGGTATAGAGGGTTTATAGGGTTTAAAGGGTTTACAGGGTTTATAGCGTTTACAGGGTTCATGCGGTTTAGGGTTTCCCTTTGACACATAGAGGGCCAGGGAAGGCTAGCAGCCTATTGCGGATAGGGCACAGTGACTCAAGACTTCATGCTGCAGTTTCACTCGTCACCAGTTTCACTAGCCGGCACCCCGGCAGAGGTATGTACACCTGTATTTATATACACCTGAGATCGCAAATCAGTTTGCCTTTTTTGCAAGCTGGCAACGTACAGTAACGTACATCGTTGCCCGGCTTTCTGAGCAGTGCCGATCGAAATGTTGCGATTCGGTAACCAAGCTTCATCTGGGCTGCCGTGGAACGAAGAAACTATAGGGCTTGAGACACTGAGGAGTCCACAAACAGCTCTACCAGGATTTAGCAGCATAAGAGTACCGTCTGTGGCACCGGCAGCCCAAGCGGCAGGTCCGCTAGACACAGCCCGCATGTTTGTTTTTAACGACCGACCTTACCGAAAGGCCACTCAAGCGGGAGCTCCTCGCCCTCGTTTACATCGGGGTGCCTCATGCGCTATGCGCTCAAGGAAGGCTGCATGGAGGTCTGCTTAGGACCTTTGGGCATGCGGCTGAAACGCAAGCGTGGAGTGCCACGGCTAAAACAGCACGATGGCGACTGCGTCGTGCGATAGATTTGGCATGATACCGGGAATACTGTGCTCCAACCTGCCGGTCATCCCAACCGTGAAGCCAAGCTAGTCGTGTCCGGCTTTTTTGGCTGGGGCGGACTCTTCAAACATTTGAAGTCTTGCTCGTGGTTCGCAGTGCATTTCGAGCATTTTCATGTACTTGATTTGTGCTCATACTGGCTGGTGCAAAAAGCTTGAGGCCTTGCAAGTAGGAGAGGTTTAGGGTTTCGGTTGTAGGGCTTAATCCAAAACCAGATGTCCTCAGTTGCTGTCTTTTAGTTCCCCCCGAAACCTTGTCTATGCATGGGGATCAGGTTTAGGGCTTAATTGGGGTTTATGAAGGGGGGGGGGTGCTGGTGCTAGAAGCATCCGGGCGCGCCCCCCGACTTGTTGAGCCCCACCCCCGCTTGCGCTCCACCCTCACCTTGACCTTTGCGGGTTTACGGTTTCCTTAACCCTAAACCCTAAACCCTAAACCCTAAACCCTAAACCCTAAACCCTAAAATCCCGGTAAAAAAGAGGCTCTGGCAGGTGTCCGGGATGCTTCGGTGTCTGAGGTTTGGTGTTGGGGGTTGGCGGGCGCCCCCCCTTCGCCCCTTGGCGCTGCCAGGGATGATGTGCAGAGCTGCGGTTTAAGGGTTTCGGGTTTCGGGTTTAGGGCTTAGGATGCATGAGGCCTCTGAATGGCGCGTGAGGCCTTTGAAAATCCCTACAACCGGCCTTTCGAGGGCCAAAAGTGGGTCTTTTGGGCTAGGCCCTAAGCTCATAAGGCTTAGGGTCTAGGATTTCGGGTATTTCGCCTAAACCCTTCACCCGGAACCCCTCGAAGCCCAGCAACTGTGACTGAGGAGTCGTCAGGACGTTTGCGTGTGGCGCTTCGTCACGCGCAACACGGTGGAGGAGCCTTGGCAGTCCAGTGGTACCCTGTTTGCCATTGCTTTGTCGTCATATATTCGGCATGTATGGGGTTCAGCCTCAACCCTACAGCCTAAAGCCCAAAGCTTAAACCCTAAACCCTAAACCCTAAACCCTAAACCCTAAACCCTAAACCCTAAACCCTAAACCCTAAACCCTAAACCCTAAACCCTAAACCTTAAACCCTAAACCCTAAACCCTAAACCCTAAACCCTAACCCTAAACCCTAAACCCCAACCCTAAACCCTAACCCCTAAACCCTAAATCCTTTTGGGCTACTTGGCTGGCAAAGGAGCACATCCACAAGCTGCACAGAAGCGGTGTCGATGCATGCTCCAGCTGACGAAAGCAGCAGCGGCCCCCATGTGCTCGTGCAAGCAACTGCAGAGCGCTCGGGCCTTCCCTCTATGGCCTAAAGCCCTGAACTCCCGAAACCTCCCTAAAACCTGAACTCCCTAAAGCCTAAACTCCCTAAACCCCAAACCCCCGAAACACCCCGAACCACTAACTTCCTAAACCCCCAAGCCCTAAACCCCAAACCCCCTCAAACTCCCTAAACTCCCCAAACCCGAAACGGCCTAAACCCCCAGCCCCCAAACCCCAAACCCTAAACCCGGATACTTCATGAACAAACTGAACCCGAAGCCTGCCGAAACTCTTTAGGCCGCTCAGGCTCTTAGGTTGATCGGGTCTCAACTATCGCCGTGCGCGTGGATGATTAAAATGGAGCTCAGGTCCACGGCCACCGGTTTATAGGGGTTATAGGGTTTGTAGGGCTTGTAGGGTTTCTTTGAAAAACTTTGGTTTATAGGGTTTTTGTGGTTTACAGGGTTTTTAGGTTTTTTTTAGGGTCTAGAGGGTTTGTAGTGTATATACGGTTTATACGGTTTATACGCTTTACAGGTTTTAATTCGGGCTTCAGCCGAAGCTCCAGATTTAAGGGTTTCCGTGAATTCGGGGGCCTGCTTTTTGGGTTCCCATGGTAAGGATGAGAGCATCTAGGGGGGCCGGCACCCGATTTCGGAAATACCAACTCCGGGTGAGCAGGTCGAGGGGTTCCTGGTCTTGGCTTCGCGGGGTTTTGGGTGTGAAGGTTCAGGGTATTGGGTTTCAGGGTTCAGGGCTTTGGGTTTCAGGGCTTGCTGTAGGGTTTCAGGGCTCATGGCTCAGTATTTGGGTTTCGGTTTTAGGGTTTAGGGTTTAGGGTTTAGGGGTTTGGGGTTTAGGGTTTAGGCTTCATGGCGGGTAAGTGCCTGGGGAAGCTTAGGGAACCTTAGGGAGTGGTAGGGAGTATTGGGGAATCTTAGGGAGCCTTGTGTTCCATACCCCCCTGGAACCCCCCCTCCCTCAAGAACCCTACAAGCCTACGCATGCCGAGGGAGTTGGTGCTAAAGCCACTCAAGCCTCTAGACCTCTACACCCTGAACCCCAGAAACCCAAAACCCCAAAACCCAAGAACCCCAAAACCCCAAAACCCCTCAACCCCTAAGCAGGCTGCGATTCCCAGGCGAACAAGCCCTCGACAGCTTTCAAACGCCCTGCGCTGAAATCAAGCCCGGTAGGTTAGGGCCTCGGGCAACCCTAAACCCTAAACTCTAAGCCCCAAAACCCCTGAAGCCATAAACCCTAAACCCCCTAACCCTAAACCCTAAACCCTAAACCCTAAACCCTAAACCCTAAACCCTAAACCCCAAAAACCCCAAACCCCCAAGCCCCTAAACCCTGAATCCCTCCAGGCCTTCTTGAACAAGCCATCACCAGCCCTAGGGGCCTTAACGGTTAGGGTTTGGGGTTTAGGGTTTAGGGTTTAGGGTTTAGGGTTTAGGGTTTAGGGTTTAGGGTTTAGGGTTTAGGGTTTAGGGTTTAGGGTTTAGGGTTTTAGTGTTTAGGGTTTAGGGTTTTAGTGTTTAGGGTTTAGGGTTTAGGGTTTTAGGGCTTAGGGTTTAGGATTTAGGGTTTTAGGGCTTAGGGTTTAGGGTTTAGGGTTTAGGGTTTAGGGTTTAGGGTTTAGGGTTTAGGGTTTAGGGTTTTAGGGTTCAGGGTTTAGGGTTGCCCCTTGAACTCCCAGCTTTCGAAGGTGCTGGCGAAGCCGACGCTGCTGTGCGTGGCCGCGTGGGTGCGGGAGATTGTTGAGGATAGTGTGGTTTCCCTAAGGGTCCATGTACCTATATGGTATATACTTGGCCCCTAAAGCTGCTATATGGGAACCCCTTTAAGGCCCAAGTATATACCATATGGGTACATGGACCCTCAGGGTGTAGGAGGTGGCACAGAATGCCCAAAACTCCTGGCTTGGGTCCAGGGTTTAGGGCTAGAACTTCGACAGGGTTAAGGGGCCAGCTCTGAAGGTTCAGGGTTTAGGGTTTAGGGGTTTAGAGATTAGGGTTTAGGCTTTAGGGCCCTGAGCACTAGACCCTAAGCCCCCGGGCAGGTAAGGTTGAGGATAGTGTCGGATCGTAGGCCCTAAGCCGAAAATGCGAAGCACCAAACACACATCCATGATCCCTAGCCCCCCCTGGTAGTCAAGATTTGGTTTAGATTGTTTAGGGTTTAGGGTTTAGGGGATACGGTATGGGTAGTTGAGTGTTTAGGTAGTCAGGTAGTTGAGGAAGCAGAGGAGCTGTTCATGACGCCCAGGTAAGGCTCTTCGATGTCTTCCAGCACCTCGAGAGTGAGCAGGTGGGAGATCTCCTTTAGTGGGTTGAGGGTTCAGGATTGAGCCTCGGTTCACGGTTAGGGTTTGGGGTTTAGGGTTGAGGGTTTAGAGTTTAGGGTTTAGGGTTGAGGGTTGAGGGTTGAGGCTTGAGTGAGGGTTGAGGGTTGAGCGTAGGGAGAGGGGTTAACGGCGCAATGTGATGCAGTTTTGTGTCAGGCACTTACTGGTACTTCATACTCTCCCTGCCTTTCAGTGCCATGCCTGTTTGGCAGTAACTCATAGCTGCACCTGCCACAACCACTATGCGAATGTGGTACTCTCGCTCAGGCAGGGTTTAGGGCGTTTGGGCTGCCCTAAACCCTAAACCCTAAACCCTAAACCCTAAACACTAAACACCCTAAACCCTAAACCCCAAAATTCATGTTCGACTAGGGTGTTCAGGTCCGTTGACGTGTTTTGGCGTTTAGGGTTCGGGTTCTACATCCCCTCCATGCCCCCCCCCCCCCCCCCCCCCCCCCCCCCCCCCCGAGGCCTCCCAAAGCACCGAATCCCTGAACCCTGAGCCCTCGGGTTTAGGGTTTAGGGTTTAGGGTTTAGGGTTTGGGGTTTGGGGCTGGGGCTAAACCCCAAACCTTCCCTGCCCCTAAAGGGTTCCCAAAGAATGACCCACAGGGTACTATTTGGGGGCTCTACTTTTTGGATCCTCCCACAGGTCTGGAAAGCCCTAAACCCTAAAGCCTAAAGCCTAAACCCTAAACCCTAAACCCCCACCATCTTCGTGAGGTTGCGTTCACAGCGTCGGAGGAGGCCGCCATCGACGAGTTCCTACAGGCGGCATGCATTCCCAGACCCCTTGGAGGATGCAAAACGCAGAACCCCCACAGAGTACCGTTTAGGGTTTAGGGTTTAGGGTTTGGGGTTTAGGGTTCCGGGTTTAGGGTTTAGGGTCTAGGGTTTAGGGTTTAGGGTTTAGGGTTTAGGTATACTACTCTGGTCATTCTTCGGCACCCTTCAAGGGATCTACTTTTTTGATCCTCCCAGGGGTCTGCGTTGTACGAGTGAGCGTTGTTGAGATTGTAGGGGTTTAGGGTTGGGGACCCTGAGCCATGTGGGGATTCTCTAAATTACGGTCCCTTTTGGCGAAGCTGTCACACGGTGCGTCTTCCAGGTTAGCGGGAAAACCGACCAGAAAAGTTGCTTTTCGCAAAAAGTGGCTTTTCGAGAAAAGTGGCTTTTCGATAAAAGTGCCTTTTCTCGGACACCGCGCGCTCCAACGCCGCGAGAAAAGTGACTTTTCGCAAAAAGTGGCTTTTCGAGAAAAGTGGCTTTTCGAGAAAAGTGGCTTTTCGATAAAAGTGGCTTTTCTCGGACACCGCGCGCTCCAACGCCGCGAGAAAAGTGACTTTTCGCAAAAAGTGGCTTTTCGAGAAAAGTGGCTTTTCGATAAAAGTGGCTTTTCTCGGACACCGCGCGCTCCAACGCCGCGAGAAAAGTCACTTTTCGAGAAAAGTGGCTTTTCGAGAAAAGTGGCTTTTCGATAAAAGTGGCTTTTCTCGGACACCGCGCGCTCCAACGCCGCGAGAAAAGTGACTTTTCGCAAAAAGTGGCTTTTCGAGAAAAGTGGCTTTTCGAGAAAAGTGGCTTTTCGAGAAAAGTGGCTTTTCGATAAAAGTGGCTTTTCTCGGACACCGCGCGCTCCAACGCCGCGAGAAAAGTGACTTTTCGCAAAAAGTGGCTTTTCGAGAAAAGTGGCTTTTCGAGAAAAGTGGCTTTTCGAGAAAAGTGGCTTTTCGGGGTTACCATGCGCTCCAACGCCGCGAGAAAAGAGACTTTTCGCAAAAAGTGGCTGTTCGAGAAAAGTTTCGTTTTCGAGAAAAGGGGCTTTTCGCGGACGCTGCGCGCGCCAACGTCGCGAGAAAAGTTGCTTTTCGCAAAAAGTGGCTTTTCGAGAAAAATGGCTTTTCGAGAAAAGTGGGTTTTCAACAAAAGTTGCTTTCGAGAAAAGTGGCTTTTCGAGAAAAGTGGCTTTTCGCGGACACCGTGCGCTCCAACGCCGCGAGAAAAGTTACTTTTCGAGAAAAGTGGCTTTTCGAGAAAAGTGGCTTTTCGAGAGAAGTAGCTTTTCTCGGACACCGCGCGCTCCAATGCCCGAGAAAAGTTACTTTTCGCAAAAAGTGGCTTTTCGAGAAAAGTGGCTTCTCGAGAAAAGTGGCTTTTCTAAGACGCTCTGCGCCGCCACGCCGCGAGAAAAGTCACTTTGCTCAAAACAGTGTTGTTCCAGAAAAGTGGCATTCCGGAATACGCCACAGGCAACGTTTTTTCTGAAAGTAGCTTGTCCAGAGACGTGTTGTTACGAATGCTGCCTGCCCCAACGCCGTGAGAAAATGCATATTTAAAAACAAAAACCAACACAGCTTTTCGATGCAAATAGCGTTTGTCGAAGAGTGGCTTTTCGCGAACGGGTGGCTTTTCGGTAGAAGTAACTTTTCAGGAAAAATAGCTTCCCGAGAACATGCAATGCGTCGGCACTAAGTGACACGGCGCCCACCATTGAAGCAACCAAGAGAACCTCTACACCTCCCTTTTCCGCTTCTCTGAGCTATGGCACGGCAAGGCACCCACGGCGGCATTTATACCTGCCTTGATAATCATAGTAGCTGGGAGGGATTGTGGAGTAGCGGGGTTCACAGCCTGACAGAGTCGCTGTCGAAGATTAAGAGCATTAGGCTCTCGAAATTCTTGGACGAGTAGGGATTCACTAACTTATTAACCTCAGAGCCGCCCAAACCTCGAACCCAATTAATTAGAATCTCTAAGCTTGACATTGCTAACTTAACTTAGTAGTCCTGTGAACAGAGCCCCGACACCGCGCGCTCCAACGCCGCGAGAAAAGTCACTTTTCGCAAAAAGTGGCTTTTCGAGAAAAGTGGCTTTTCGATAACAGTGGCTTTTCGCGGACACCGCGCGCTCCAACGCCGCGAGAAAAGTCACTTTTCGCAAAAAGTGGCTTTTCGAGAAAAGTGGCTTTTCGAGAAAAGTGGCTTTTCGCGGACACCGCGCGCTCCAACGCCGCGAGAAAAGTCACTTTTCGCAAAAAGTGGCTTTTCGAGAAAAGTGGCTTTTCGAGAAAAGTGGCTTTTCGCGGACACCGCGCGCTCCAACGCCGCGAGAAAAGTCCCTTTTCGCAAAAAGTGGCTTTTCGAGAAAAGTGTCTTTTCGAGAAAAGTGGCTTTTCGCGGACACCGCGCGCTCCAACGCCGCGAGAAAAGTCACTTTTCGCAAAAAGTGGCTTTTCGAGAAAAGTGGCTTTTCGAGAAAAGTGGCTTTTCGCGGACACCGCGCGCTCCAACGCCGCGAGAAAAGTCACTTTTCGCAAAAAGTGGCTTTTCGATAAAAGTGGCTTTTCGAGAAAAGTGGCTTTTCCCGAGCATTTTCCCCGTATTGTCAAAGACACCCCACACGCCAGCACAGGCCTATTGGGGTTATTACAAGGCGGCCTGAATATCTAGGGCACTCCGAAAGAAACCATAAATTTGAGAAATGGGCAGCCGTCGCCCGACCTCGTGGCGAGGACCAGTTAGTTGATCGTGCCTGCCCTCACAAGTAGGCTGTAGGGTTTGGGGTTTCGGGTTTAGGGTTTAAGGGGGGCTTTTGAAATTTTAGGGTTTAGAGGGTTTTTGGGCTTCGGGGCTAAGATCTCATGTCCCAAAACCTTGTTTAACCTCAAGCCCCCCTGAACCCTAAACCCTAAACCCTAAACCCTAAACCCCAAACTTCAGGCTCAAAGGACTCTTATTTTAGGGTTTTTGGGCCCAAGAGCTGTTGTGAGCTTCAGGGTACATGCCTAGACCATGCCCAGGTCATCATCCGCACCGCGGTGATGCGCCGGGCCTTCCGCTACGCCGTGGACGTCTTAGGCCTGGAAGAGCTTCGGGTGTAGTGGCTTACTGGCTCAAAACCCAACTTTTCAACTTTTGGGCTTCTTATAAGGTAGTTTATTCTGAAAGTTTCAACTTTTATTTCCTGGGTTTTTGGGCCAGTAAGGTGGGCCGGGTTTAGGGTTTCGGGATTCGGGGTTCGGGGTTCAGGGTTTATCAAAGGGGCTAGCAAAAGTGACTCCGAATCTTTTTTGACTCTGAATCTGTTGGTCCCGAAGGACCTGCCATGTTAGATAGGGTTTGGGTAGGCCGTGTCAGCAAGCCTAAACCCGGCGCCTGCAACCCTAGAGACGAAACCCTAAACCGTAAACCCAATCCTTGAGCCCTAATCTTCCTAAACCTTGCAAAACCTAAACCCTAAGGCCCCTAAACCTGCAACCTTCTCCTTAAGCCCGAAACTTGAAACACCTTAAGGCGTGAAACCTCGCAACCGCAAACCCTAAATGCCTGACCCAGACAACGAATCCCCGACACCTAAACCCTATACGCCTGACAACCCCCCTCACCCCCGAACTCTTGAGGGCGAATCCCCAAGAGACCGACCCACAACTATCCTCTGGCCGGCATTCTCTTCGGAGATTTGCCAGCCGACAGGATTCCTGTTCTGATTGCCTGAGCCAGTTGCACTGGCTCCTTAAACCCTCAACCGTAGACCCTAGACCCTAAACCCTAAACCCTAAACCCTAAACCCTAAACCCTAAACCCTAAACCCTAAACCCTAAACCCTAAACCCTAAACCCTAAACCCTAAACCCTAAACCCTACCTAAACCATGGTTAAAGCCTAAATAAGCTATCCTGGCTAGTGGTGCGAAAACCCTGAGCAGAAGGGGCGGAGGCGGTTTGAAGGACGTTATGCCGCCTGCTCCAGCCTAAAGCCTGTGACAGCCTAACCCCCTATCACCCTAAACCCTAAACTCCAAGCCTCTGACAGCCTCAGAACACCCCAAAACACCCTGAAGTCCTAAACAACCTAAACTCCCAACTCTCCTCCCCAAGACAGCAACCAAGCTACACTACCATAAGTGGTAGGAAAGCCCCGTTGCAGCCCTAAACCCGAAACCCAAAAGCGCGAAACCCATGCATAAACCCAAAACCCCTAAACCCGAAACCCTAAACCCTAGCCCCAAACCCTAAACCCTAAACCCTAGCCCTAAACCCTAAACGTCGCCAGGCCTCGACAACTTGGAGGGCGTTTGGCAATCCGAGCTGCGCCGAATCTGGCTAGGAACTCAGAGGTTCGGGTTAAGGGTTTAGGGTGTAGGGTTGAGGGTTTAGGGTGTAGGGTTTAGGGTTCAGGGTTTAGGGTTTAAGATTTCGGGTTCAGGGTTTAGGGTTTAGGGTTCAGGGTTTAGGGTTTAAGGTTCAGGGTTTGGGGTTTAGGGCTTACTCTTGGGCCAGGGCGCCCTCCAAACCCGCTCTCCGCCCCCGCGCCAGCCTTCAAAGCCCAGGCCCCAAAACTTAATAAAGCCGTGGGTCAAAGCAGTTGAACCTTTCAGGGTTTGGGGTTTCGGGTCTAAGAGCCCCTTAGGCACCTTAGTAGGGTTAGAATCGGGTTATAAGTACAGTTATAAATAGGTTACTAAGTACCATGAACCTGCAAGTACAGCCCACTAACCTTACAGTAAGAAACAAACACGGAGCCTCAACAAACCTTCACCTTCAACCCTCAAATGCAACTCTCCAAACCCTGATCCTTCATCTTTTTATGAGCCGTAACCCCTAGGCCCCAAACCCTGAGCCCTAAAAACTTTTGTTGGAAAACTTCAAGCTTTGAACCCCAAAGTTTCTCAACCTTCTAAGCCCCAAATCGCAAACTCCGGACCCCGAAGCCCTGAGCTCTAAACCCTACAGTCTAGACCCTGAGCCCCAAGTCGTATACCCAAAGCGCGAGCCTTAAACCTTAAATCCTAACCCCCCCCCCCCAAACCACAAACCCCAAAGCCCTGACTGAGCCCTAAACCTGAAACCCCAAAGCCCCTAAAGGCGCAACCCTAAACCCGAAACCCAAAACCCCAAACCCTAAACCGTAAGCCCTAATTAAGCCCATACCCTCATCAAGCCCGAAACCCAAACCCTAAGCCCCAGAACACCGTAAGCCTTGACCCAGAGACTCCCAAACCCATAAATTAAGGAATATTTCTTAAATCATACGTAGGAACCCTAGTATGATTTAAGGTATATTCCTTAATTATGGGGTTTTAAAATTAAGGAATCTGCCTTAAATCATACTAGGAACCCTGGTATGATTTAAGGTATATTCCTTACTTTGGGGGGTTTTGGAGTCTCTGGAGGGCCCCTTCGTGCCCTGTCAGGTTCACCCGTGCCGGCCATCCCTGCGTGCTTTGGCTCTAGCCCTCCCAGCGTTTTTGGTAGTATTAGGGTTTCTTGGGGTTTGTTTATGTTTGATTCGAAGCTTAGGGTTCAGGGTTGAGGGGCTTGAAGGCTTCAAATGGTTTAGGACTTGGGGGTTCAGGGTTTAAGGGTTTAGGGGTTTTGGGTTGTGGGGTGTGAGGGTTGAGGGTTTATAGGATTCGGGGGCTTGAGGGTGTATAGGGCCCATAGGCCTCAGAGGCCTCATAGGGTTTGAGGGTTTGAGGGTTTCAGGGTTTCAGGGTTTGAGGGCTTGAGGGTTTGAGGGTTTGAGGGTTTGAGGGTTTGAGGGTTTGATGGCATGAGTGGAAGTGACTGGTGTTCGTGTCTCTTCGTTCTTTGACCAGAGCGACGAGGACATGAAGGCTTGTTCTGACCATCCGCTCTGCGCCCTATGTGAAGTTTTGGCTGGGTACAAGCTTGGTGGGCGGCTCTCTTCAGCGACCCTTCAAGTATCAGCAATCCGTTTGGCAAGGCAGTACCCGGAGTACACGAATCCGCGCAGACTGTTCAGCGACGGTTCGGCCTTCAAGAGAGTCCGCAAGGGTTCAGAAGGTCCAAAGAACACGGGCCAGAGCACATGTTTCAGGGTCCTTCAGCGATTATGAAGTCATTGAAAGAATTGGAGCAGGTTGGGCGGCTTTGATTTTGGCAGTTTGCTTGCTCATCAAAACGTCCAGGCTTCTTGTTCATCGGTGTAAGGGTTTAGGGTTTGGGGCCTAGGGCTTTGAGTTTGAAGTTTGGGGTCCCATCCCTCAGCCCTGAAACCCCTAAACCCTAAACCCTAAACTCTAAACCCTAAAACCCTAAATTTTCCTAAATCCTTGGACCCATGAAGGGGCCACAGAATACGGAAGGTACCCCTAATTTCGGAAACCCCCGATTGGGTCAGGGTTTTGGCAACTTAAAGTTGTCCGAGCAATGGGTCGGTAGCCATAATCTCTTCACAGCCCAGGCCCTAGACTCACTGCACCGTCTCAAAGTAGACCCTGATTGAAAACTACTTCCCCCCCAAAAAAAAACAATCCCTCGAACGCTGAACTTAGCTATCAAGCTCATCACAGGCCTTTGAACACATCTTTGTGGGCAACCTCTCCGAGGACGTCACTTGGCACGACCGATAAGGCCGAAACACTGCGGGTTTAGGGCTTCAGGCCTTTTGGGGTTGGTGCTGAAGCTACACCCCGAACCCAAAACCCCGAACCCTGCTCGGCAAACCCTAAAACCCAAACCCTTAACCCTCAACCCTCTAAACCACCAAACCCTGAAGCCCTCGACCCTAAACCCGAAACCCTAAACCCTCTAATACCCTAAGCCCTAAAGCCCTAAACCTAAACTGCCAAACCTTAAAGCCTAAAGCCCTCTAAGCCACCAACCCCTAAGCATCATATCCAACATGTCCCCGAAAGTTTAGGGCCTTAACCCTAAATGCCCTACAGACCTTGCAGCGCTAAAGCCCCAGAAGCCTGCAAAATACCCAGAAGGTGTCGCACCTTTCGTGAACTGAGTGCAACCCCAATTCCTAGAACCCTAAAACCGAAAGCGCTAAGAGCAAGAAAGCCCCCCTTTTTTAGGGGAGTTTGAAGGGTTTAATACTAGGGGGTAGGAGGGGGCTTTACTATTAGCGGTCGGGGATAAGTACCCTAACCCTAAACCCTAAAACCTAAGCCCTGATCCCAAGCCCTACGCCGAGTAGCCTAAGCCCTGCATCCTATGCCCTTGCCAGTGCCTGGCAGCCATCCTTATTCGGTTTCCTGGAGCTGGTCAGCGTCTGGGGTGCAACGTCTGGGGTGCAACGTCTGAACTGCTCATCGCATCATCTCCGGCCAAGCACGTGCTCATGTTCCCGCGCTCGTGACAATTCCTGGTTCCGGTTTTTGTGCCGCCCTCATAAGTAGCGGTTGGCTTAGTGATTCTTGGTTTCATCCTGTTGCCTGTGCCGCCCTCAGAAGTAGTGGTCGACATGCATACTTCTGTGCCTGGCTTCCGGGCTCCTTTTCCAGCCCCCCTGCAGAGGCAGACCCCGCAAGCTTCGTTGGCTTCTGCAGGGTTTAGAGGCTTCTTCCGCGACAGAATCCAAGCATTGAACCCTAAACCCTAAACCCTAAACCCTAAACCCTAAACCCTAAACCCTAAACCCTAAACCCTAAACCCTAAACCCTAAACCCTAAACCTGTGCTTAGGGCTCCGAGCCTCCTTGCACACTCTCGACTCTTCCGGTTCATCCATGCAGCGGGCCACCACCATCTCAACCTGTGCTTGAGGTTCCCTAAGCCTTAGAAACTCTAAGCCCCAAACTTAGGTTTAGGGTTTAGGGTTTAGGGTTTCGGGTTTCGGGTTTCGGGTTTAGGGTTTAGGGTTTAGGGTTTTGGGTTTAGAATTTTGGGTCGGGGTTGAGGGTCAAGGCAGATGGCCACCCGGTCGCTGGCGGGCTGCACTGCTGGCTGTGCTCCAGATGCACATGGGGAGGCACAAACCCTAAACCCTAAACCCTATGAACCCTATGAACCCTAAAAATCCCGAAGCCCTTTCTGGCCATGGGTTGGGGCTCCTAGGTTTTTACCCTTAAAAGGGAACCCTTCTGAACCCTCTTCTGGCACTCTTAAACAGGGACCTTATTCAGAGGGTCTATGTCGCCAAAGGGCCCCCCTAATCCTATCCCTAGTTTCAGGCTTGGTAAGGTTTAGGGTTTAGGGTTTTAGGGTTTTAGGGTTTAGGGTTTAGAGCTTAGGGTTTAGGGTTTAGGGTTTAGGGTTTAGGGTTTAGGGTTTAGGGTTTAGGGTTTAGGGCTTTTCGAATTCGTTGAGTGTGAAGCCCTCTCGCTAAGCCTGATAGTCAATATCCCCTGCGGTGCTCGGAGATGGCCTTCAGCTCATCCCTGAACCCCTAAACCCTAAACCCTCCCTAAACCCTAAACCCTCCCTAAACCCTCAACCCTAAACCCTAAACCCTAAACCTTAAACCTTAAACCCTAAACCCTGAACCGTACTAAGCCCTAAACCATACATCCTCCAAAAACCGCATGCCAGGACCCTCAACGCCCTAAGAGCCTAAATCCGCAGCCCCTAAAGCCCTAAACCCTAAACCCCCAATGCCTATATAAACCCTAAGAGCCAACGTTTACTTCTTCCTAAGCCCTGAGCCCATCTTAGCGTTGCGGGCACCGGGGCGAAACCCAGACCCGCAGCCATGGGGGTTTAGGGTTTAGGGTTTAGGGTTTAGGGTTTAGGGTTTAGGGTTTAGGGTTTAGGGTTGAAGTGTGAGCCTTTGGGCGACCCCCGTGCTGCCCTGCAGGCTGGAGACTTAACCCCTCCGTGCCCTACTAGCCGTGACTCTTTATGTTTCCAAGGGTAGTTACATGGGCCCTTAACAATGGTCCCCTACCTTCTTCAGAGGGTTCTGATGTATGGGCCCTTATTTTGTAAAGGGAATATAAGGGGTATGATTAAGGGGTAACCTTTTAAGGGCCCAGACTAAGGGGCCACGCCACTGCCCTTAGAATGTTGAAGCCCACTTACTTTATAGGGTTCTTAAGGCAGGGGGGGGGGTTCAAGGGGGGGGGTAGTTTTATGGGTTGCACCTGCTAATTCAGGGGTAGCTTCTACTAAACAGTAGGTAAGTAACTAGAGTCCCAGGCAAGCCCCAGGCCATCCATTCCTATTTTTGGGAGTGTCTGGGGTTTGGGTTTAGGGCTTAGGGTTTGTGCGATTCAGGGTTTAAGGTTTAGGGTTTAAGGTTTAGAGTTTAGGGTTTAAGGTTTAGGGTTTAAGGGTTTCGGATTTAGGGTTTAGGGTTCCTTATCAGCCGTTGAACTTCGGCATGAAGCATCCGTGCTGGCGGGGCTCTTGTGGTCCTCTGAAAGTTTGCCTTGAGATGGCCTAGGGTTTAGGGTTTAGGGTTAGGGTTTAGGGTTTAGGGATATAGGGAAACCCCCCCCCCCCCCCCCCGGATTTAGGGTTTAAGATCAAGCCGAAGACCTTGCCGTCAAGGAAGTTCTACCTCGAGGAGCTGAGGGGCACGGCCAAGCACTTCAGCCCTGAAGTCCTGCAAGCTCGATATTCTTGATAGCAGGTGTTTAGGGTTTAGGGCTAGGGTTTAGGGTTTAGGGTTTTGGGTTTTGGGGTTTTGGGTTTTGGGTTTAGGGTTTAGGGCTATTAGTTATTAGGGTTTAGGGTCTAGGGGTGGTTTAGGCGGGCCCGACAATTATGCCCCGGTCCTGGGGGTCTTAGAGAGTCTCAGTTGAGAGAGGAGCGAAGGTAGGGGGGCTCTTTTTGGGACATAAGGGGATGAAGGACGCCCTAAACCCTAAACCCTAAACCCTAAAATTCTTGTCCACTCCTCCGCTCGCTGTAAGCAAACAGAAAGCCCTGGGGTGCAAGATGTGTGCATCAGGGTTTAGGGTGGAGGCTTCATTCGGGTCCAACGTTCTGTTCTAAGGGTTTACTGGAAGGGGGTGTTGTTGCCCTGAACCCTAAACCCAAGAACCCAAGAACTCGAAAACTTAAAACCCCAAGCCCAAACACACAACCCCAAAAACACCCCAAACCCTAAACACCTTAAGGCCAAAAGCCCTAAACCCTAAACCCTAAACCCTAAACCCTAAACCCTAGACCCTAAACCCTAAGCCCAGGTATCTCGGTTACATGTACAATCGCCGGCCCAAAGAGGCCCTTCAGGCAGGGGGTTTAGGGGATCTTGAAGGGGGTTTAGGGCGTAGGGTTTATTTTACGGGTTTAGGGTTCTTGGGTGTATCATTTTAGGGTTTAGGTTTAGGGTTTTAGGGGTTTTGGGTCTTACAAATTTAGATTTTGACGGCGCTAGGGTATTAGGGGTTCAGGGCTTTAGGGTTTCAGGCGCTACGGACTTACATTTGCGCTTATTGGAGAGTCTTGGAGGCCTACACGGAGGTTCAGGGTACTTAACTAGTAACCCAAGTGCCAATTGTAGCTGTACCTACAACCCAATTAATTACAACCCTGTTAGGTTACTTAAGGGGCTTTTGAGTGGGCTCGAACTACACTTCTACTTGGGTTATAAGTATCCTGAATCTCCAAGTAGGGCCTTGAGGCAATTCTTCTGGGTGGGGTGGGGAGTGGGGGGAGTGGAGGTTGCAGCTTGTGGGTTTGCGGTGCGGCGGTTTTACGGCTTGCACTGAACCCTTAACCCTAAACCCTAAACCCTACACCCTACACCCTAAACCCTAAACCCCAAACCCTAACCAGGGTTCGGGATTTAATGACGAGCCCTGAGAGGATCATCGCTACATCTCCGGCAAGTTCACGTGGCGCCACGCGGGACGCTGGGCTGAAACTTTTTTGGGTCTAGGGTTCAGGGTGTAAGGTTCAAGGTTTCGGGCTTAGAGTTTAGGGCTCAAGGTTTAGTGTTTAGGGATGAGAGGGGGTAGGGTTGAGGCTTGAGGGTTGAGGGCTTAATTAGGGTTTAGGGTTTAGGGTTTAGGTTTTAGGGGGTTTTAGGGGTTTTAGGGTTTTAGGGGTTTTAGGGTTTTAGGGTTTTAGGGGGTTTTAGGGTTTTAGGGTTTTAGGGTTTTAGGGTTTTAGGGTTTTAGGGTTTTAGGGTTTTTAGGGTTTTAGGGTTTTAGGGTTTTAGGGTTTTAGGGTTTTAGGGTTTTAGGGTTTTAGGGTTTTAGGGTTTTAGGGTTTTAGGGTTTTAGGGTTTTAGGGTTTTAGGGTTTTAGGGTTTTAGGGTTTTAGGGTTTACGTTTTTTGAGGCTCGATTTTAGGGGTCTTTTTTTTCTCAGGCTAGGCTCCTGAGCTTAGAAGGGTCGCGGTTCTGGGTCCGGGGGGGGGTTAGAAGGCTTGAGAGTCTCAGGATCTCTGTTAAGCTTTCCGACAAGCATCTAAACCGCAGCTCTGCGACCCGAAGAACCCTAAAGGCTCCCTACAGGCCTGTGACTCCCAAACTTTTTCTGAAGCGCTGAACAACACCTGAAGCCTTCAAACCCTAAGCCACAAAGCCCAAAGCAACTTAAAGCCCTAATCCTTCTGGAGCCTAAGCCCTAAACCTCGCAACCCTAAACCCTAAACCCTCAACCTCAAGCCCTAAACCCTAAACCTCAAAACCCTGAACCCTGCACGCTAAACCTCCAAAACCCTAAACCGCTAATCCCGGCATGCCCTGACCATCCCCAACACCTGACCAAAGCCCAAGCGCCCCTAAGGGTTTCGGGATTTCCGGGTTTAGGGGTCCAAGACCCTCAAACCCTCAACCCCAAAAAATCCCGATCTCTGCGCCTCCCCAGCTAAAGGCTTACATAACCCTAAGCCTCTACACCTTACACCCGAAACCCTAAACCCCAAAACCCCAAAACCCCAAACCCCAAACCCCAAACCCTAAACCCTAAACCCCAAACCCTAAACCCTAAACCCTAAACCCCACCCCAAGGGCGAGACCTGGTCAAAGAAGAAGGCTCCTCCTCCAGCTGGGTTTCTAGGGTTTCGGATTTAGGGTTAGTAAGCCCGGGGACTCAAGGGTTTAGGGTTTAGGGTTTAGGGTCTAGGGTTTGGGGCTTAGGGGGCGAGATTCCGGGATTAGGGGCTCTAGGGTGTAGGGTTGAGAGTTTAGGGTTGGGCTTTGTCGCGAAGCACGCGTTGTCACAACGCACGCTTTGTTTTTCTGTGATAAAGGCATTCGAGTTTTGTCTGCGTGCTTTTGTTTGTTCTGTTTGGGGTCTAGCTGTTAGGGGAGGGGGAGGGGTGGGGGAGGGTTTAGGGTTGTGGGTTTCCGAGAGGTTCCAAATCTCTAAACCCAAAACCCAAATCTAAACCCTAATCTGATACCCCTAAACCCTAAACCCTAAACCCTAAACCCTAAACCCTAAACCCTAAACCCTAAACCCTTGGTGCTGAGGCTCCCTGGGACGGAATTCGGGGAATTCTCCTGGGATTTGGGAGGTTCAGTGCTTGAGAAGGCCCCAAAAAAGACCCGACACCCGAAACCCGACACCACAAACCCCAAACCCCAAACCCCACGCCCCTAAACCCCAAACCCTAGACCCTAAACCCTAAACCCTAAACCCAATACCCCAAACCCTAGACCCTAAACCCTAAACCCAATACCCCAAACCCTAGACCCTAAACCCTAAACCCTGAACACCTCTGTGTGGGATCTAGGACGTGGGAAACTGGGGGAGGGCTCGGAGCTGAAGGCTTAGCGGCTGAGGGTTTAGGGGTTTAAGGGTTTAAGGGTGTAAGGGTTTAAGGGTTTAAGGGTTTAAGGGTTTAAGGGTTTAAGGGTTTAAGGGTTTAAGGGTCTAAGGGTTCAAGGGTTTAAGGGTTTAAGGGTTTAAGGGTTTAGGCATCTCAAGTTCAGTTACCGATCACAGGGTGGTGTTTTTTTTGGTTTAGGTTCCCCAATATGAGCCCGGGAAACTGCGGATTTAGGCTCCCAGGGGGTTGAGGTCCTGGCATGCGGACTTTTGGAGGATGTATGGATTTAGGGTTTAGGGTTTCGGGTTTAGGGTTTAGGGTTTAGGGTTTAGGGTTTAGGGTTTAGCGTTTAGGGCTTAGGGTTCCTAGTCAGGCTCACAAGCACAGCTACCCTTCCTTATCGGGAGCCAAGATGTGGACGCCCAGGGCAAGCCTCGGGGCGGCACTCTATTTTCACTAAATGGGCGGCGGAGAAGGTGCAACATCCGGAAGGCGCTTTCGAAGTTGGGCGTGGTCAGGCTACCAAGGTGTTTCGCCCCAAGGTGTTTCGCCCCAAGGCGACACCCTTCTTGCTGGCAAACGTCTATCTCCACAGCGGTCAGCAACCTATGGTGGCAGAGGCAGCTCACAAAGCGTTCGCTTGGTTGGCTAGCACCCAAGAGGATGTTATGGTGGTGGGGGATTGGAACCTTGAAGTGGAGCAATGGCCTTTGTCTTCTTTTCACTATGAGTTTAGGGTATAAATTCGGTTCTGGTTTCAGGGTTTAGGGTCTAAGGTTTGGTGTTTGAAATCCAACGACTCGAACTCTGTTGCTTGTGGTGCAGGTCCCTGAGGGTCCGTTCGTAGTACCATTATGAAATATGGCGCGCTTCTAGAACCCCGGTTTAGCATGTTGGGCTAAACCCTACTCCCTGAACCCAAAACCCCCTGTGATTTGGTAGTCGGTTTCTTATTTGAGGTTTCTTTGGGCCATTCTCCTGGGATTTGGGAGATTCAGTTCTTGAGAAACCGCAAGCCCCGAACACCAACCAAAACAAACCTATACCCCCTAAACCCTAAACCCTGAACACCTTTGTGGGGGGGCGCTTGTAGACTGCTAAATAGGGGCCCCTACTTAGCATGTTGGCCGAAACCCTATACCCGCAACCCCCTAACCCCCAAGCCCCTGTAGCGGTACTCGTGCCACCCAACTCTCCCCAACTGACAAACCCTACAAGCCCTACAAACCCAAAACCGATAGGGCTCAGGGTTTAACACCTCCTTAAGATAGTTACATGGGCCGTTAGTATGGTCCCTAACCTCCCTTGAAGGGTTCTGATGTATAGGCCCTTAACTTGTGTAGGGTTATATAAGGGGTATGTAAGGGGTACCCTTTTAAGGGCCCATACTGGTAGACCATGAAATTTCTTCTCCCTAAACCCTAAACCCTAAACCCTAAACTACCCTTAGAATCCAGGCGGCTTCTTCATCGGCGTCTCGCCCGAGTGGCTCCTCGCAGATGGCACCATCGCCTATCTGGATCCCTGGCGCCAGCAGTGCACGCGCAAAAGCCCTCCACAAGGGGGCCTAGTTTAGGGTTGAGGGTTGAGGGTGGAGGGTGGAGGGTGGAGGGTGTTAGGGTTTCTGGGTTTAGGCCTTAGGACTTGATGAAGTGAAGCGGGCATTAGGCGAATCCATATCATACTTGCACAAGGAGAGGCAGGGGGATTCAAGGATGAAGACTCGTATTTCGAAGGTTGTATTTGTAACGGTCCCCTAAATCTACTCCCAATATGGCCCTTATACTGCTTTTGGGATCCTTACAAAGGGTCCCCAAAACCCAAGGGTACAACCTTAAGGGTCCGAGGTAGAACCCCTAGAGCCTCTGTGTGGCTTCAAAAAAACTCGGAACCTGAAAGCCCTCAGACGCGCATGTTAAACATCAAGCCTCAAAGGGTTTACGGTTTAGGGTTTAGGGTTTAGGGTTTAGGGTTTAGGGCTTAATTAAGGTTTAGGGGTTGGGGCTTCGAGTCTAGGGTCCGAGGCTTCAGTTCCCAAATTCTTAGCTGGTGAGGTGCCGAAATAAGCCTCACTCATGTATGGATTCCCGGGTCAGCGCTCTCAACCCACCTAGGTCCCTAAACCTTAAACCCTTTAAACCCTTAACCCGAAACCCTAAACCCCAAAACCCCAAACCCCACAAACCCAAACCCCGAAACCCCAAGCCCCCAGGCTCCTAGACCCGAAGCCCCGAGCTCTAAGTCCCAGACATTCAACCCAGACGCCCTAAATCCTGAGCCCTCAGAGGTTTACGGTTTAGGGTTCAGGGTTAGGATTTAGGGTTTAGGGTTTAGGCCCTCAGGGCTCACAGTAGCCCAAAATCCCTTCCAGAGTCCTTGGAGGCTTAGGGTAAGCCCTGAACCCAGCTTCTGAGGAAACACGGGATGAGGACGCTGCAAGACACGGCTGGCAGCCGTGGCTGGGCGCGCGAGACCGAGGCGGGTTTAGGATCTCGGGTTAGGGTTTGGGGGGGGGGGGGTGTGAGTTTGCTCGCGGGTAGCCCTAAACCCTAAACCCTAAACCCTAATTAAACCCCAAACCTCGGGAGTTTCGATTTTCGGGAGTTTCGGAGTCTTGGGGTTCGGACGGTGTCCCTCGTCATGGATGGAGGGTTCAGGGCTTTAGCGGCTTGAACAGGAAACCCTAAAACCCGAAACCCTAAGATCTGGGCTCCGAATTTAATTCCTGTTAAGAACTAAGCCTTCCTAAAGCTTGCGACCCTTGCTCTTGTCTAGGGTTTAGGGTTTAGGGTTTAGGGCTGTTTCTTGCAGGCTACACCAAGGACGTCGTCCACGAAGGCTTCGGCTATCGGAAGGCGCCACGAACTTCGCCACCTTCAGCCTTTATAAGTTTCAAGGTTGATGGTGCAGGGATTAGGGCTTATCCTACTTGGCTCCTAAACCCTCAACCCTAAACCCTAAGCCCTAAACCCTAAACCCTAGACCTTAAACCCACAACGGTTGGGGACGACTGACCGTAGTTGCGGAACCAAGCATGGCCCTGACGAATGTGGCCGCTCCCCCCCCCTCCCCCTTTGGGGATCCTGATTAGAACCCTACACCCTAAACCCCATTATTAGATAACTTGCACCTCACTTTCAGGGTTGCACATCTCCGATCCGGACAAGGATGCAGCCAATTCCTCCGTTTCGACTTGACCTGGGTATCCAGTCCGCGCCAGGGGCGGTTCCGAATGGCCAAGCGCAAGGAGGACGATGGCTACTCCCAGATTGGCTGCGTGTCGAACTGGCGCGTTCCGAGCACTACAACCACGCTGGCGCAACAGATCTCTTGGGCGTTTTGCATCACAAACGCTAGGCCCCGAGCCCTTAATCCTAAACCCTTAATCCTAAGCCCGAAAATTGTTGCGGATGCAGGATTGGGGTCTCGTTAAAAGGGCGGAGACCTGAAGCCACGCAACCAAGGGGTTATGCTGACTTGGGTTTATAGTGGCAAACAGGTTTGTAGGGTTTTAGGTTTAGGGTTAGTTTAGGGTTGAGAGTCTAGGATTCGGGCTTCGAGAAATATCGGAAAGTTAACCTTGGGGTTCATCTGGCCTCAGAGTTTAGAGTTTAGGATTTAGGCTTAGGGTTAGGTTTAGGTTCAAGGTTTAGGGTTTAGGGTTTAGGCTTCAAGGTTCCAGAATGTCTACATCCTGAAACTGGGTGCCTTGAAGTTGCATCAGGTGGTCTGCCACAGCGACGATGGCGCTCTCGTCACGGTCTTCTCCTCCTTTCTCGGCACTGCGAGGTTCGGTGTGCTCCTAAACCCTAAACCCTAAACCCTAAACCCTAAACCCTAAACCCTAAACCCTAAACCCTAAACCCTAAACCCTAAACCCTAAACCCTAAACCCTAAACCCTAAACCCTAAACCCTAAACCCTAAACCCATAAACCCTAAACCCTAAACCCTAAACCCTAAACCCTAAACCCTAAACCCTAAACCCTAAACCCTAAACCCTAAACCCTAAACCCTAAACCCTAACCCTAAACCCTAAACCCTAAACCCTAAACCCTAAACCCGAACCCCTGTTGCCCAGAAGGGGGGGGGGGGGAGGAAGGCCCTAAACCGTAAACATACGCTGGAAAAAGATAGTCAAAAGGAGGATCCCGGAGACGCTAAGGGTAGTTTCATGGGCCCTGAAGCTTTAGGGTTAAGGGTTTAGGGCCAAGTTTAGGGTTTAATTCGGGTTTAGGATTTAGGGTTAAGGGTTGAAGTTAAGGGTTTCGGGGTAGTTTCATGGGACCTTGATTTGGTCCCTTACCTCCTTTATAGGGTTCTGATGTATGGGCCTTATAATTTGTACAATTATGCTATACAAGGAGTGTATAAGGGGTCCCCTTTTAAGGGCCCATACTAAGGGACCTAACTACCCTCGGAGAGAGACACCTTTGTGCCGGGAATTGCGGTTTTTCCATACAACCCAATGACACCCTCAACCAGTTCAAACCGATTAGCCCACACCCCAAACCCCAAAGCCTAAACCCCAAACCCCAAAACCTAAACCCCAAATCCTAAACCCTGAACCATCCTAAAACCCTGGCAGTCGCAAAGGACCTTGGGGATTTTTGGGGACCTAAACCCTAGACTTTGGGCTTTGGGGGGCATAAAAGAGTAGGACTTTGCCTGTTTAGGGGTTACGGGGTTTAGGGGTTTAGGGTTCAGGGTTAGGGATCAGTCTGACGGATGCACGGGGAAATCGGCCACAGTGCCTGCAATATACGCCTTTGGCGCAAGAGGCTACAATGCCTTTGAAGCAGGAGGATACAATCAGACGCCGAAACCCACGGATGGTTTAGGGTTCAGGGTTTAGGTTTAGGGTTCAGGGTTTAGGGTTCAGGGTGTAGGGTGCCATTGACAGGAATGGCCGCATTTCTGTAGATCAGGACAGGCCGCGCAGTTGCAGAGTCGTAAACCCTAAACCCTGAGCCTGCAACTCTAAACCCTAAACCCCTCAAGATTGTAATACAACCTTCGGGGGTCCGAAAGGTAGCAGCCTCGTTCCCTCCCAAAACCCCTAAGCCAACGACTTCTAAACCTCCAGGGTTTGGGGTTTATAGGGTTTACGGTTCAGGGTTTATAGGGTTTATAGGGTTTGAAGGGTTTATAGGTTTTATTGTTAAAAGGGCCTTGTGAGGCCCCAGGGCGATACTGGCTACACGGCCCACCTGGACGAGATCCTTCCCGAGGCCTGGGCACTTTCAGGTTTAGGTTTTTTAAGGGGTCTTAGGGTTCAATGAACCCTGAACCCTGAACCCTGAACCCTGAACCCTGAACCCTAAACCCTAAACCCTAGCGCCTAAACCCTGCCCTACGCATCAGCCACAGAGAAAACCGGGATCCACATGGTAATTTCCACCGAAATGCGACCTATTCGTATTTTCCTGCGAAACCACATGCTTGAATGTGCATCAAAAAATCCAGCGAAGAACCCAGCGGAATCCACTACAAAAACCCAGAAACCTGTAAGGGAAACCCAGCGAAACAGGAGGACACACAGATTGGGTTCAGTGTTGGGGGGTGTCAAGGATTCACAGGTCTTCACAGGTCTTCACAGGTCTTCACAGGTCTTCACAGGTCTTCACAGGTTTTCACAGGTTTTCACAGGTTCTCACAGGTTTTCACAGGTTTTCACAGAACTTCACAGAACTTCACAGGTTTCCACAGATCTTCAAGGACATTCAAAACTATTGAAAACCCAGCGACAGCCATTCAAAACCCAGCGAAGAGCATACTCAAAACCCAGCGAAAAGGACATTGAAAACCCAGCGAAAAGGACCTTGAAAACCCAGCGAGGAACCCATAGGACTCCATGGCATGAAGTTGTGGAATCGACGGAAACTTTCCAGCGCACAGGAAACTTTCCAGCGGAGCAGGTTCACATGGTAGTTTCCAGCGAAAGTGCTAGGTTTTTCCAGCAGACGATGGTTAGGGTAGGTTTCTGTCAGGGCTTTGGCAGGGGGGGTTTAAGTAAGATGCCTTTGGACGGTTGAGCAGACTTCGGGCTGGGGGTTTCGATGTAGGGTTTTGAGTTCAAGGTTTTAAACCCCAAACCCCCTAAACCTTCTAAACTCTCTCAACCCTCTCAACCCTAAACCCTAGGCCCTAAACCCTAAACCCTAAACCCCAAAATCCCCAACTCCGGATCCCAAACTCGCCCAGGCCTCCAATCGTCCCTAAACCCATGAACCCTGAACCCTAGAAATGCAGGGTTCGCTCTGCCCGGAGGCGGAGCTGTCGACGCGCCTCCCTCACGTCCTGGTGGCCGAGGGCGTTGCCCGAGGAGAGGTTTGGGGTTTAGGGTTTAGGGTTTAGGGTTTAGGGTTTAGGGTTTAGGGTTTAGGTTGAGGGTTTAGGGTTTAGGGTTTAGGGTTTAGGGTTTGAGCTTAGGTTTTCGGGAGCCGCGGAGCTACCATGGTCTTTTTGGCACTTGCTTGTGGAGGCTTTCACCAGCTTGGATCAATGAAGGGCCTCGAAATAGGATTCAGCTCTGAACCCAACCCCTGCCAAACCCCAAACCCCAAACTCTGAACCTTAGCCCCTAAGCCCTAAACCCCCCCTAATTCAGCACAAGAACCGGTAAACCGTCTTGCAAATAGGGGACCCTCAAATGTATCCCCAAAGTTGTAGAATCCTTCTTATAGGAACCGCCAAAAGCGGGCTACCCCTTACTTTCGGACACTTCCATGGAACCAGTTCTCAACCCTCAGGCCCCCTCAACCCGAAGCCCTTCTCCAAATCCTGAACCCTAAAGGCCCAAACCCCTCCTCAGCCCTAATCTCCAAGACCCTAAACCCTAAACCCTAAACCCTAAACCCTAAACCCTAAACCCTAAACCCTAAACCCTAAACCCCCTAGACCCCACAAAAGCCCTCAGAAGCCGACTCCGACTTCTGCGCCGCAGCGCTGGCGTTCTGTGCCTCGCGGCACTGCCATACCCTGGGCCAGGCACGTTTGGGAATTTCGGGTTTAGGGTTTGAGGTTTAGGGTTTAGGGTTTAGGGGTTTATCGGGTTTTTAGGGTTTGTAGGGCGTTTAGGGTTCAGGGTTTAGGGTTTGGGGTTTAGGGTGTAGGGTTTAGGGTTTAAAGAATCAAGGGTGGAGCTCTGGGTTTCGGGATTGCTAGGCAGGATGTGAATGATCCCCGAACCACAGCACATTTTGGGAACCCCTTTGTGTCGGCTCCGCCGCACATCGGGGAAACCACCTTAGAACGCCGTGGCCTGTTCACCACATTTGGCTCAAGTAATCCCTAGAGTGTAGGTCACCCATAGGTTGGAAGTAAGCGCAATAGCGTAACTGGAAACCGCCCGGGTGCACGAGACGGAGACTGAAGGCGAACGCCAGTGCAGAAAACAAGTGCGAGACCATTTGGCTGGTGAGGAGCCAAAGCGTAGTGCAAGCAACTACCCGACCTCACGCAGGTTATCAGCCGTATAGCGGTTGCGATTCCTTGCGACTACTGTACGGGCTGAGCTATGGCACTGCCAACCTCGTCGTCGAGTGCCGACACAACCATGACCTTCGGTGATGGTGATGCTATTGCTGCACCTGCATTGGGCGAAAGCACAGGCTGCGCCGACACAGATGCGGTTACATCATCAGATGATGCCGTTGAGATGGTCGCGGTTGCGAAGGGACCCGCACGAACCAGAAGTGGTTTGAGCGTACTGCGTGAAGATGGAAACTCGAAGATGAGTCAAGTTTCACGCCTCAGATCCACTTCCAGACAATCATCGGAACGAACATCAAAGAGATCCAACACACCAAGTACTCCACGACGAAGAAGAGGCACTTCTCCACGAATCTCTCCACGATCCTCGCCGGACGCCGGACGACCGGAAACGTCACCGCGAAGAGGGTACGGTGGCCCTCTTTTGGGTACCGGCCTCCCCAGTTCGGAACCTCCGGCTGGCGGTAGGAGCGGGCTTGATTCGGGTCCCCCGGTCGAGTCTGCTAACCCTCTAGCGGAACGAATCCGGGAAGAAGGCGAAAGGCGGGAGATGGAAGAGATCATTGCCATGTTGCGACTGAAGATCGAGGAGATGCAACAGGAAGACTATGGGGCATCACTCAGGATCGAGCAGCTAGAACGCGAACGTGATCAGAACGCGCAACTGGCAGCTCATATCCATCAACGTCACGAAGCTACACTCGCTGAACGTGAGCAAGTCGTTGGTGCCACGATCGCAACACTGGAGCAACATGCCGCCGACAATCATCATCAAGCGACGATGACTCAGGAGCAGTTGATGCACCAGCAACGCGAGATGGCGCAATACATGGTCAACGTGGAAGAAGCGGCCCATGGTGAAGGAAACTCGATAGCTCGAGAATACCAGCGACTTACAGAGGAGCTGAACATTCGAGCACATGAAAATCTGAGAAGGCGAGCCGATCTACAACAAGCCGAAATCATGGTGGCCCAGATGGAAGATCAGCTGCGAACCTCCGAGTTTGCACGTGAAGCATCCGAGAAGCAGAAGAGCGAGATGCGAGAATATGCTCATCATGAGAGCGTGGCATTGCAGGATGAACGCGATCAAACCAGGCTCTTGAACGTGAACATTCATGGCGTCATCGTTAAGTACCACGAAGAAGAAGAAAGAGCAGCTGCTTTGAGACAGGCTGTGCACGAGATGGAGCAGCGATTGGAAGGCCAACATGCTTCGTTGCCTAGCATCCATGAGGAGCTGCAAAGGGTACGAGCGGAATGCCAATCTCATGAGGACGTCAATCGACGACTGACATCGGAATTGGATGCTGCGAGACAGGTTCAAACGTACAACCGACCTACGTCAGCCGGAACGTCTGAGTGGGATAATGTTTCTTCAGTGCCTAGGGTAGGTGTGCATAATTCGCGTCCACAAAGCGTTCAATCCCGTTCAGGAATAACCCAAGCTTACAGCAGTCCGGAAGAAGTTGATCGTGATGTACCAATGTCATCTACGACGGAATCGAGGTTCAAGACATGGGTCCAGAACACCATTCCTGGGGTGGGTTCGGCTTCGCCGGCTCATTCCCAGGGTGGAGATGCCTCAAAGGAGGGTTCGGGTCCCCCGGCTCTTCCCACGAGGCCATCGTTGTTCGGAGGACCACCCATTCCAGTGACAGAAAGCCGACCGACTTCTACAAGGACATCGTTGTTTGGTGGACCTCCCGTTCTCGTTCCAGGAGTACCATCGGTTCCCAACCTGGTTCCGGGAAGGATGTTCACGACAGGTTTGCTGGACTTGCCTCCTGGCTTGGCTACCAGACCACACACCTCACAGTTACTTGCTGATCCACCTACGGCGTCCACGTCCTACCAGTGTGTGCGGCAACCATCGCGTTCGCGGCATACGGGCGAGGTCACGCCTGGAATGGCTTCAGAAATTCCTCCGAATGCTCCCAATCATCCTCAAGATCCTCGCGCAAACGCTTCGACAACTGTTCAGCAAGAAGCTTTACGAAGGCAAATGGATGATCTTCGGGAAGAAATGAGCAGAATGAGAGACACCGAAGCTCGTCTTCGTCGTGAACGAGATCAATGGCGTACAATTGCTGAAGAACAAGAGCAAGAGAATGAGGGTGAAGAGGGAGAGAACGAGGAGGAAGGCGAACCAGAAGAGGACGGAGACAAAACCGACCCTGGATCCTGGAAGCCAATCAAGAAAGGAGGTGGAGGAGGTGATGGTGGTGGCGATCCAGATTCTTCTCCCCACGGTGGTGGTGGAGGAGGTGGCGGTGGATCTGGACCCGAAGATGGACCTGATTACACCGAAGGGCCAAAGATATCCCGAAGAGAAGCCGACAAGATCAACATTCCTGCGTTTCCCAAGGTCACTCACTTGGACGCTTGGCAGGCAGCAGTCACCACAAACGTCCTGGCCGCGTGTGCGGATACCAATCAAAGCGACTGGATCAAATGGCTGCAAGAATCTTTCAAGCCGATGCCGGATGTTGAAGGGCTCAACGATTCGGGACATGTCAAGTTCAGAAGCATCGACGTGAAGCTGGCAAGTGCGATGACTCTCATGTTACGGAATGCTGGAGATCAAGCAGCCGATCTGTTCTTGGAAGTGAACCTCAAATCAAACGCGTACATTCGCGGGAACGAGTACAAGGTTCTGAAGGGACGACAGATCATTGCTATGATGATGGAAAGCTTCCGCACACGGGATCGTCTTGACATGGTTTACACGATCGATTACCTGACCAAACTGCAGTATCCTGGGGACAACAAGATTGCCGCATTCAAAGCAACGTGGCTAGAGATCATCTCTCGGATTCGACCTGAAGATGTACCTTCCACGAATGCCCTCCGCGACATCTTGTACCAGAAGATATCAGGATCCTCTGAGATGAACATGGAGCTCAAGCTTTACTATGACATCAAGAGCTATGACGATCCAGAGAGATCACATGATATGCTGCTGAGGATCATGGACCGGGCGGTGCAGAGGAGAAGAGAGAAGAAGAACCTCAACGAAACACAACATGGTCTGAACCAGATGGTTGCTGGGAAGGACCTGCTTGCTGCACCAGCTAGGCCCGATCCCAAAGGGCCTCCCTCATCCGCGCCAGACAAGGACAAGAAGAAGAAGACGAATGAGAGAGGCAAGGACAAAGAAGCTGCGGATGCTGCGCCTGTACTCCCAAAGAGTAAAGCAAAGGCACACGAAAAGGACAAGAAGAAGGGGAAAGGTAAAGGCAAAGAACGATCCCGATCTCCTTCATCATCACGATCGCTGACCGACAAGGAGAAGGCGAAGATTCGTTGCAAATTTCACTTCGGAGGAGGATGCACAGCAGGAAAGAATTGCAAATGGAGTCACAAAGATACGGACAGAGGAAGACCGTCTTCACGAGATGATAAGAACCAGAGAGCGCGAAGCCCGTCATCAAAGCCATCGGAACGACCTTGCTTTCAGTGGAGCAAGAACGGATCCTGCAGCCGAGAGAATTGCCCTTTCAAGCATGACCCGGCTAAGGCAGCGCCCGCAACCGGGGAAACCGACGCGAATGCAAAGGCAAAGGCAAAGGCGAAGGCAAAGGACAAGAAGAAGAAGCCTGAACCTGCCGCACCCGCGATTGCGATTCGAGGTCTGCCTGCAGTACCTGTTCTTCGATCCCTGGATGATGGTGACGGTGATTCTGACGATGAGTCAATCGATGGCGACGCGGCGTCAGATTGCTCCACTGACGATGAGATCGGATCTTATCACAGAGACGTCAAGGACCTCAAGGTTTCCTTTGAACAGGGAACGAAGTTCGCATCATCGAAGCCGAGGCGATCACACAAAGATAGAGGATTCGCCCCACGACTTTTCACTGAAGCGAACCTGAAGCACGAAAACCACATCTCGGAGGTCGAGTACGAGAAGCACAAAGCAAGAGCTAGGGCTCGACTGATGGAAGATATGTGTCTGGGCAAAGATGGAGGATGCATACCAGTTAGGATTCCAGGAACCGAGAAGGTGATTGTGTTCAAGTTCGACAACAAGAAGGGGAAGTTCCATGAAAGAGCCTTGAGCGTTGATGAGAGCCGTAAGGAACTGATGAAGAACCCGAACATGTGTATGGTCCAACCAGAATTTATTCGCAGGAAACTGAAATTCATCATGGACACTGGATGCGGACATGACCTTATTTCTCTGGAAAAGGTCGCCAAGCACGGCATCGACACTGCAATGGATTGCGAATCTACATCGTTCCAGACGGCGAATGGTGTCACTATGACCAACCAGACGGCGGAATTCTTGACGAAATCCTTCAAGGAGCCCATCAAAGCACATGTATTGGAGAATACACCTTCTGTGCTGTCAGTTGGGAAGAGATGCATGCTTCACGGCTATTCCTTTGTGTGGCCCGCGGGACGTCCACCATTTATGGTGAACGATGCTGGCGAGAGGATACAATTCTTCGTGCAAGGAGACATCCCCTATGTCAGAGTGGGAAGCAAAGGAGCCAAAGCCCATGAGGAACCCGAAGCGATGGAAATGTTCCGCTTGGTGCAGAAGTACAAGGACAAGGTGGACGATGATACCGACGACGATTCGACGTATGTTGCGGTACCAGGTCTTGACGACATCGGCGAGGAGATCCCCGACGTAGCTTCCGAAGCTGACGAAGAAGAAGATGGCGAAGTGGTCGAAGGCGATGAAGCTCGTGAAGATGAACCACAAGCCGAACTTCCAGTTGAGGCTGAGGGCGACGCGCAGGAGATCGACGTGGAAGGTGACGAATCTGGTCCAGATAGGAGGGCGAAGGTCGGCACCTTGAAGGCCGAAGCGAACACCTTGGCTCACCTTTGTACCCATCGATTCCGGAATCCATATTGTGACGCGTGCGTGAGAGCAAAGATGAAGCATTTCAGAACCCAAAAGGGAGCATTCAAACGAGAAGTCAATGAGTGGGGTGACTTGGTGACGTTCGACTTTGTGGATATGGGAAAAGCCACGGATAAGGGGGTGGGTCTTGACGACGAGCTCCGTGAAATCTTGGTATTCCGCGACGTGGCCACGAAGGTGGTTGCAGCATATCCCACAATCTCCAGAGAAGAAGGAGAAGTTGTACGATGTATGAAGAGATTCATGGGAAAGAAGAAAGTGAGGCTGGCATATAGTGACTGCGCAGATGAGTTCATTGCGGCGATGAACAAGCTCAAAATTCCATTGGATCATTCATTGCCAGGACGTCCTATGAACAACTCTCTGGCAGAAAGGACCAACCAGTTCGTCATCACTGCTACAGCCACGTCGTTGCTGCATGCAGGGCTACCTGCGAACTATTGGCCCTATGCCTTGAATTGCGTCACTCACAATCTCAACGCCGAGGATGTGGATGGTGAGTCGGCGTGGCAGAGGATGTCTGGGAAAGAATTCCCGGGAAAGTTGATTCCGTTTGGAGCAAAGGTCTACTTCAAACCGACCGAGACCCGTGAACCAACATATGGCGGAAAGTTTGACCCGAAAGGAATACCTGGCATTTTCGCAGGGTACGTCCTTAATGCGGGGCAAACATGGTCACGAAAGTATCGTGTGTGGGACATGAAGGAGTTCGCGAATGCCAACTTTGCACATGATGCGAAAGTGCCTCGCAAGCTTCAAATTCCCTACATCACCGAACGGGTCATCATGCCGGATGAAATTGCCTTTCCGCTCAAGCTCGAATACGAGAGGATGAACGGAACACTTGAAGGACTGAAGGAAGGAAAGGATCTCGGAGGAAAAGAAATCAAGGACAAGCCACCAGGAGGAGGTAACGACGACGATGATGACGACAATGGCGATGATGGTGGTGACCTACCTGATCGCCAAGAACGCGTCAAAGCCATGGAGAAGGAAATGCTCGACTATGTCATGGAGAACGATGACATTGTGCCTGATCTTTCAGAATTTCCAGATGATCAACCCGGTGAACCTCGCGACGGACCAGCATTGGAGTCTGAAGATGCCAAAGCCCTCAGATTGATTGGCGACTCCATTCTCGACAGTGCAGGAAGTGTACCACAGAGCGAAGGAGTACCGGATGTTGCTTCGGATCCTCCGAGCAGCAAAAGGGAAACTAAGCGTGGTACTTCCCCCAAACCCGTTTCGGAACCTCCGGACGGCAAAGGGGAACCTGCATCGTCATCACGCGGTCCAACGGGGCGTGCTATTCCGGACATTGACGAGACCGACCCTGCGTTCATCATCGCAAAGCTCAAGGAAGCTGGACTCATTGGACCGGAACCTGAGTTCTGGAAGTTCGGTACTCCCGGCGACGGTCGTGTCTACATCAATGACGACGGCGAACCTTGCAAGATCGACAAGCGGGGGGCTCCGTTCAAGATTGGGAGTGATGGTAGACGATTGCTACTCTCCACACGTCCGAAGGGCAAGTTCACTCCTGAAGAATGGCACAAGCTCGGAAGCGAAGGCAGGAAGATCGAACTTAAGAAGATCAAGAAGGTCGAAGAGAAGGAGGCCAAGAAGGCTCGCAAGAAGGAGGCCAAGAAGAAGAAGAAAGGCAAAGAGCATAAAGACGCACTCGTTGCATCGTTGGAGGCGTTACTTCCCAAGGTCGTGCCTGCAGAGAAGATCGATTTGGACTTCAGGGCGGGAACGACTACTGGATGGACATGGTGCGAGGAACAGGTGACGCAGATTGCCACAGAAATGTTTCTGGACGATGTGCTGCCTGCTCTTCCAAGTGAATTGGCAGAGTTCGGATTGAGAGCTCCTCGCATGCCATGTGTGTCATCAACCAAAGAGAAACACAGAGAGAAGATTGCATGTGCAGCGCCGTGCTTCAACGCCATGGTTACACGTCCAGTCAACCGCAAGGAGATGTACGAGAATCCCAAAGCCATGGAGGCGTTCATGAAAGAGTGGAAAGGCTTGTGGGATCAGGAAGTCTTCGACTTTAGCCAAGTGCGGGAGTACGACGACGTGGTCAGAGAAGCGAAGAAGTCCAACGCGAAGGTGCACATGGCGAGAGTGCATGGTCTCATCTATGAGAAGAACTATCAACTCAAAGAAGGGGACCCTGCAAGGAAGTTCAAAGGAAGAGGTGTGCTGCTTGGAGAGCAAGTCAAAGATCAGAATATGGAGGCGGCGCTGTTCCAGGACCTCGGTAACTCTCCGGCAACCTTTGATGCGTCTCGTTGGGCCGACTTCTACGGGTGCTTACCCGGGAACGACGTTCAGATGGCGGATGCTATCCAGGCCTACATTCAGGCTAAGTTGACGGGGACTCCGTGCTGGGTTGAACTTCCAGACGAGGCTTGGCATCCTTCGGTAAACCGGAGGAAATTTCGCAGACCAGTCTGCAGGCTCGTGAAAGCACTCTATGGGCATCCGGACGCTGGTACAATGTGGGAACAACATTGTCATACCGCAGTCCAGAAGATGGGTTTTGCACCAGTTGGTGAGGAATGGCCGTCTCTTTACTTCCATGCAGGAATGAAGCTCCTATTGGTCATCTACGTCGACGACCTGAAGCTCGCCGGTCCGGCGGAGAACCTCCCGAAGGGGTGGAACATGCTTCGCAAGGAACTTCGTCTTGAGGAGGAAACTCCGCTTGGTTTGTATTTGGGATGTCGAATCTCAAAGGGAGAAGCTAAGCTTCATGACAACACCAAGGTGCGAACTGTCACTTATGACATGGAAACCTATCTCGAAATGACAGTGCAAAAGTACTGTGAAACCACGGGATTTCCTGTGGACAAATTCAAGAAGGTACCATCTCCCAGTCCAGTTGAAGAAAGCAAAAATCACCCGGCTAGGGCACCTTGTCATCCAGGTGCTGCAAGCCATCGGTGTCAATGGTGTGGACATACAATGCCTGTCGATAAGGGCGGACGGCTTCTACCTCCACCACCGGTTCCTAAGGGCCCACAGGAAACGGAACTCGATGAGGCAGACAGGGGTACTCTTGCCCCGCATGCGGCGAGCATCCTCATGAAGTTGCTCTATGCTGCAAGAATTTGCAGGTTTGATTTGCTGCGAAGCATAAACAATCTTGCGCGACGCATTACAAAGTGGTCCAAGAAGGAGGATGCGGCTCTGCATCATTTGATGTGCTACGTCCATCAGTCCAAAGGTCATAAGATGATCGGATGGGTCGGCGATTCCATGGATGCTACTTCCATAGGGTTGTATGCGGATGCGGATTACGCTGGTTGTGGCGAGAGTTTGCGTTCTACTTCGGGGGCTCACCCAGAGCTTCCAAAACTTCTTAATTAAGGAAATGACCTTTAAATCAGGCATGCGAAGCTTAATTAAGCAAGAATACAGCATGTTTTAAAGTGTTTTTGCTTGTTTAAGATGTTTTAACCGTAAAAAAGCTTAAATAAACAATATTAATGCTTAATTAAAGGGTTTTCCTGCTTATTTAAGAAAACACGTTTTAAATAAGCAGTTTTGTCGGCAGACATGATGAAGACAAGGAAAAATGGTTTAAGCAATGTTTTGTATTTTGCCATGCATGCATGTGCATGCATTGCTGGGATGCATGGAGATCTTGAGCATTTTTTCGGAGAAGGCATGCATTGTCTTTTGTATGCATGGGCTCGAGGTCAGGCGGTGCAACAAGATGACAAGCCCTAGGAGAAAGAATACTGCCAGTGCCGAAGATATCGTGCACCTTTTGAAAGCCGGCCTGCCCCAAGGGCTCGGTGCAGGCGTTAGTTTCAGTAGCAGCAATGAGGAATTCCTTAAAGAGAAGGAACTCCTGGTAAGGGAACTTCTGCTTGCCACACCCCGGGTGACAAACAAGCTCTTGACGGATGCTGCCTACAAAAGTTTCCAGGATGCCGATGCTGGGGTGGTTTCCAGCTTTGCAAATCGAACTGTAGCTTGTTGCCAGTACCTTTACAACAAGAAGCAGCAGTCTTCCTCGGGGAAAAAACTGTCGGCACACACCCGTCGCCTCATCAGCATCTTGCACTCTCCTGCCCGGAAGCAGGCAAGCAAAAGCAAACCCTCCACAGTGGTCTTGGGCAAGTTCGGTCATGGGCAGGCCCGGGTGCTGAAGAAGCGGACCACTAGTGAGGCTGATCAGGCAGCTGGAGATCTTGAACAGCTGCCTTCGCAGTCTGCAGAGCTGCGGGCCCTGGCAGCTTCGTATGGTTTGAAAGCTGTGCCTGCAGCAGCATGGTCTGCTGCGAGGCCTGTGGTGGTGCAGGATTCGGGCTCAGAAAACGTGCTCGACTCCTCGGAGGAGTCTTCAGACCCGGAGGTCGTGGCTTCTTCCTCTTCCAAGGTCCCGGCTTCCTCTTCGAAGGCTGCTTCATCCACAGCAGCTGCTGCGACACCTAAAGTTAGTCGAGTCAGACAACACGAGTGCTTCGACCTGAACCGGGCATGTTGGGTCAGGCATATGCAAGGACGGGTCCTGGAGGCTGCAATGATCCCGGGTGAGAACGGTTTCATGTTGGCCCAGTTCCCAGATGAGCCAGCGAAAGAAGTGGAGCTGCCGATTTGCCTTTGGACAAAGTGTTTGCAGTCGAAGGAACCCACGACTAAGGCCAAACCGAAGCCCAAGGGGAAGGCCTCTTCGAAGGCCAAGGGGAAGGCCAAAAGCAAGGCCAAGGCCAAAAAGAACGTGAAATTGCTTCCAGCTCCTGTCGAGGAGGACGAAGAGGCTGCAGACGACCAAGAGGACGGCAGTGGAGAGGTCACGACTAAAAAGAGGCCCAGTGCTGCCATCGTCGCAGAGGAGCCGAGCAGCGAGGAGAAGCCCCATCGGTTTGGCTATATGTACTACAGCAAAGACGTCTCGGTTGGCTTCTGCAAATTTTGGCGATCGGCAGGCAAGATCAAAAGGCAACAGGTCTGCAACTTTCGACAGCAGGGTTGGGATGAGGAGGCTGTGAGGGAAGCTGCCAAGACGTGTGTGGATGCATTGTCTAGCGGGGCCCTGGCCTGCGACAAGCCTGCCATCGATGCTTTCATGGCGAAGTATGTGTCGGACAACTCGGGTGACTGAGTAGCAGAGGGATAGCTCTATAGGCGAAACTCCAAAAACTTTTGCTCGCTGGAGTCTAGGATGGCACCGAGGCATTCGCAGCGAAACAGCCATGAGGAACTGCAGTCGTTTGTGTGCCTCTTCGATCATGCAGATGGCATATGCATGCATGCATTGCTGCATGGTTGACTGTTTTGTGCTGCGCCCCGCCCCCCAGCTCGAAGGTTAGATTTGTGCCAGAAGTTATAAAGCTTCCAGCAGTAGCTTTAGCAGGCCCGATGAATGTTGATATGGCACACTGCCAGACTCCGGATTGCAAGAAGCTTTGTGGCCCTGGCCACAAGCATTGCTGCAGTCTTTGTGGCTCTGGCAAGCACACTCGTCGATGCCAGCACAACGAGCCACGGCTGATCATAGCATGCTGGACTCCTGGGTGTTCGGCCTTCTGCAAGGATCCTCGCAGGCATTGCTGCTCGGGCTGCCGGGCTTCCTCTGGGCAGAGGCACACCAAAACCTCCTGTGCGAGGAGGCAGCAGCATCTCAGCAGCTTGTTGGCTGGAGTGCTGGATCTGAATGAGCTTGATTAATTCGATCAGTTCGGGTTTGCCGGATCGATATGCTAATGTCTCGCATTCTCGGGTACAGAAAGCATGCTTGTGCATTCAGATGCTGTCGGCATTTTGTCGATGTCTTGTTGTGGTGTATGCAAAACAGCAAGAGCATCCATGCATGCATTCACTGTGCGTGGCTCGAGCTGTAGATAGATATAGGCTGCAGCCCGGGGCTCAGTGTGACAGTCCTCGAACGAGCTTGGATCCTTGATTGTTCTGCAGTGCTCCAGGCATGCTTGCTATCAAAGGGTCTGTGCAGCAGCAATTAGCCGATCGAGCTTCTGAACTCTACATGCATGTGCAGAACTTTGGGTGACAACCCATGCCCTATGAAACTAGCCTTGAACCCTAAACCCTAAACCCTAAACCCCAAACCCTTAACCCTAAATCCCGAACCCCTAAACCCTAAACCCTAAACCCTCAACCCTCAACCCTAAACCCTAAACCCTAAACCCTAAACCCAAAGCCCTAACCCGGGCCTGAAGCCCAAACCCTGAAGCTGGACCCGTTGATCGATCGAGGTGATGGACCGATGTCGACTTCGAGATGCAGATCGATCGATCCTGCCACTTACATGGAGAAGGACAGTCTCGCTTGTTCGAAGTTCGGGGTTTCTGCTGCAAGGTTTGCATGTGCCCACCCCGCTAAGCCCCACGACCCCGTGGTCTGGCTGTGTGGCAATTGATGCATGATGAGCATGCCTGCATGCTGGGCCGATCGAGGCATGGGGTACAGGTGCATTCCAAACATATAGGTAAGCGCCTGGCATGTCCGTGAGAAGATTATGTTTGAAAGCGACAGATAGACACGTGGCCTCCACATGCATCCTTTCATATGTGTTGCTATACAAGAAACATGCTTAGTGCACTTTAAGCATGCCTCCGAAGATTCCGAAAGCATGGCGTCAGCCTTGGAACACTCCCTGGGTGCGGACTGTGCAGCAGCCTCGTCTCCAAATTCCAGACTTCGAGCTTCCGAAGGAAGAGATGGATGAGGAGGATGGTGAGTCCAGCTCGCCCACTGTCGATTTAGTTTTGGAGGAGGCCGAGCTGTCGCCCATTCCTGTGGAGGAGCCTCCTCTGGTGGAGGCTCCTCCAGAGGAGGTGGAGGAGCCTGCTGTGGAGAGGCCTGGTGTGGAGGGTCCTCCTGTTGAGGAGAGTCCTCCAGCCCCCATGGATGTGGCTCCTGAGGAGGATGAGGATGATGACTCCTGGGGCTGCTGGACATCGGCTGGTCGGCAGGAGGCATCGTCAAGTTCGTCCCGCTGGACTGATGCAGAGTGGAAGAGCTGGGACGAGTGCCAGGCCGCGGCCAACAAGAAGAAGAACAAGGGCCGGGCTCGTGTTCTTCACCTCTATGAGCGGAGGCAGGCCATGGAGCAGGCGGGCACCTGGGTCGGTGGAGCTCCTGATGAGGCAAGCAAGAAGGCCCGATTGGAACGTGAGCGAAAGGAGGAGTAAGCAGCCATGCGAGGATATGTCCTAATTACATACATATATATCAGACATATGCTACCCGCTGCAAGGAATTCTGGCTGCTTACTCCTCCTTCTTGCTCTTTATACAGAGCCGTCGAGGTCTATGCATGCACAGCTGCCCTCTATCCTGCAAAGTGAAACGATTCGCCCGCGGTTTAAGTTAAGGGTTTAGGGTCCATAGGGTTTGGGGTTTGGGGTTTCGGGTTTGGGGTTTATGGTTTCCGGTTTGGGCTTTGGGCTTTAGGGCTTGGGGTAGAGGGGTTGGCTTAAGGGTTGAGGGTTTAGGGTTTCGGGCTTGAGGTTCATCTGTGGTTGCTGTGGCTGCCGGAGCACCAAACCCAAACCCCAAACCCCGACGCCCAACCCCAAACACCAAACCTTGGAGCTCGAAGCTTAAGCCTACTCACACCCCAAAGCCACCCCGACTTGGAAACACCTACACCCTCAACCCTCAACATCCCTCAACCCTAAACCCTTAACCCTAAATCCCGAACCCCTAAACCGTAAACCCTAAACCCTGCACCCTAGACCCTAAACCCTAGACCCGAAACCCAAAACCTTGAACCCCAAACCCTAAACCCTAAACCCTAAACCCTAAACCCTAAACCCTAAACCCTACACCCTAAACCCTAAACCCTAAGCCCGAAACCCTAAACCCCAAACCCAAGCCTAAAGGCTTGAAGGTAAAACCCGCGCACTGAATTCCACACGTTCGCGAGGATCTGGCTGTCTTCGTGGGCTGCAAAGAGCCTCCACTGTGGAGGCTCCGGGCGGGACCTCGCCTTCCTCTTCGGGCTTCTAGTGGGTTTATCTTGCCTTGTCCGGTTTTGCTTCTGGGTGGATGTTTTGCTCACAGACTGTACTCAGCCTGCCAACCGTTCTTGTCCGACAAAGCACCCGTTAAAAACTGTTAAAGAAGAAACTTTTTTAACAGTTTTTTTAACGGGCCTGCACCTCTTGTTTTGCTACAAAACATGGTGTTAAAGAAAGTGTTAAAAAAAGTTTTTTTTAACAGTTTTTAAACGCCTGCAGCCCCGCACGAGGCCTGGGCGAAAGATGGCTGGTGCCTGCAGGACACAGGCCAGCGTTTTCTGGGGTTTCTGTAGGGTTTTAAGGGCTTCTCAAAGGGGCCAGGGTTTCTTTGGGGTTTGCTGTCTGTTAAGGGTGTTGGGTGTCTTTAAGGTTGTCGGCTTCTTTGGGGTTAAGTTTTTGTGGAGGCTTCAGGCCATCCTTGGGGGTGTGTGTGCGGGTTTGTGGTTGCTGCAGAACTTTGGACCGGCCGGGAGGCCTCTGCGATGGGACCATGTCCAGCCTCCACAGTGGAGGCCGGACATGGCAGAGGGAAGCGACAATCCGAACACAGAAGCACACGCGACTTAAAGAATCCTCTTAGCTGCTGCACCCGTTCCTGCTTCCTGTCCGTCCAGGCTGACAACAGCGACATCGACTGTAGCCGGCCTGCGAAAACAGGAGCCTAGGCTGCTGCATGTGCATGTGCAAGGGTCGACGGTGCTCTGCTCTCATTGGTCCCACGAAAACCATTCTAAATGTTCTAAATGATGCATGACATTTGCTGCTGCAGCCTTTTGCATTCGGTTCGAATTGTGTGGATCTGTCGTGCCCCTGCTCGCTTTCCTTTGGGAGACATGCCAGGCAAGAAGGCCCCGGCTGCCGTCAAGAGTGCTTCGAAGCCCACCAAAAAGGCACAGCAGTCACCCATGAAGGCAGCAAAGAACCAGGCCCAGACCAAAGCATCCCCCAGCACCAAGCCCAGCACAAGCAAGACCGTGGAGAGGAAGGACGTCAGTAGGTTTCTCAGCGGCCTGGGCTACAAAGCCACCACCAAGGCCGAGGATGCCACCCATGCCCAGCAGCTGCTGCAGGATGCTTGGTGTGGATTTTTTGAAGGGTCTTTTGCCGAAGCATTTGTGCCTTTCCACGAAAGCTCGCCCCAGTCCCGTGTCGTGCATGCATGCTGATTCAATCAACCAAGAACTATCACGAGATGGATTCCCAGGGGAAAAAGAACTTGGTGGCCACCTACATGGAGAAAGGCGGGATAAAAAACTTAGAGTGGGTGCCCAGCTACTTTGAGTCCTCCGAGACGCTGAACACAGATTTGGTGGAAGCAGAAAAAGGGTATTACACGGCGGCGAAGGTGCTGAGCTTCCAGGGCTTTGTCGTGGGCCAAAACCTGGCCCCGGACAGATCCAGTGCTGTCCTGCAGGCACTCTTGGAAGAGAATTGGCAGGCCAATGGCTTGGACAAAAACGATCCCGAACTCGTGCAGGAGAACTCGGCATGCCCCGAGCTCAAGAAGTACTTTTACATTCACTCTGTCCAGAAGGATATCGCTGCGAGCACACACAAGACCTCCTTGCACCAGAGCGCCGACTTGAAGCACCAGGGCCTAAAGGCCGTGCTGGACCGGAAGGGCTCCGATGGTCCTGCAGTGAAGCTGGAAAACCCGGGCTTCACAGAGCTCAAGGCCAGGCAGACTGTTCAGCAAAGCGGCAAAAGCAAGACGGAGAAAGAGCTGAATCTCGTGAAGGACCTCCTCGCCGAGCTGGAGCTGAAGAACGGCAAGAACACCTACGACGATGTCTTGAAGGAGGGCAGCAAGCACTGTGACTCGGCCGACGACTTCTTGAAGAAGTGCCGGGATGCGAATGGAAAGATCAATGGCATGTCCTTGGAGACCCCTCCGAAAGAAGTGGAGGAGCAGCTCGACAGCACCAATGGCAACATCCAGATGGCGATCGTGCATTGCGAGGGCCTGAAAGCATTCAAGAATCGACTGAAAGCCATTCTCCGCTGAGGGCATGCATAGGCATGTGCCATGGATCGCCCGCTGTATATGCAAGCTTGCAGCAGCAGTTCGCTCCTCCGGGGAGCGAACAGGCACCTCTTCCGAGACCGACGATGCGACGTGC